CATCTGGGTGATTCTGTGCTGCTCTACTTGAAGATCTTACAGAGGGATCATTGTATATATAATTTAAAAGTGTGGTGGCTTTTCTTTATCCTGACGAGAATTGTGCTTTCAAGAACTAGGTCAAACCCCTGCAGTGGGAATTGCCCACCAGTTTGCTTTTAAAAGTGTTTTAGTGTTGATGTTGTTTCAGCAGAGCTATACCTTTCTATTTATCAACATAACGTTTTCAGATTCCTTAGCTAAATCATGTCTGTTCTAGCTGGGTGTTTTTGAAGTAACAAGTTTTAGCATTAGAAAAGCTTGCATATTCAAATGGTTTAAAAATTACCTGTTCTTGCATTAACACAAGGTGTTTCTGCATACCTAATTAGGCTATCTCTGTCTTTGCTTGACTTATCTCACTAAACTACATACGCTTTCTCCCTGTCTAGCAGCATTTATTTTGTAAATATTGAGGTCTTGTGTTTGCTGGAATTCAGTGAGGAAAAACTGGATGAGAGTAGTTTGCCTATAGTATACACAAACCAGTCTATAAAGGTCTATAAGGAAATAATTTTTGTTCTTTAATTAGACCTGCCTTATTATTTTTAGCGTTTGCATTGTATTTCGTTTGTTTTGAGAAGGAAATGTATTTCAGCTCAGAATGTATTTCAGCATACTACCTATCGGTACATAAGGCAGCTGTGTAGCCTTCTGCTTCAGAAACTACCAGCTGTGTTTTGAAGCAACTTTCAGAATACCAAAAGTATACATACTTGTCTAATATTTTACTCTCTTGGTATCCACCATAAGCTTCCAGAATAAGTAATATGAATAACAACTTTAAGTAGCCTCCCTCTTTCACTTCAGAGGGGATTTTTTTTTTTTTTAAAACTTTGTTTTATTCACTGAGAGGTCACGATAAAAGCTTTGCTTTTTTGAGAGTATGTCCTTAGGCAGTTACTCCGGGTAATTAAATTTATGATCCAGATCTCCACCATGTCTCTGCAGATGCTTGTCGTAATGTATCAGGTATTTACAAATGTTTTTGTATCTGCTGAGTCACGTGGCAGGATTTTAGCCCTTCCATAGTAAGCAGCTTCTGATAGCTACATGCTAGCTCATACATTTTAAATTAATAACTTCTGAAATTTAAAAGAGCTTAACAGGCTGAACTGGTAACTACTTTTACTGCCACTTCCTAACACATTTTTCTTCTACCATCTCAAGTTAAATAATTCTTGTTATCTTTTGTCTCCTGATACTTGCAAAAAATATTAACTGTAAAGTATTAAAATGTTAATTTCTACTGGTAATTCCAGTGACAAGCTAGTTCTTTTAAAAGCTCACTTATTCTACTGTAGCATTTTTTAAATCTGTTGTTTTTCCTAGATTCCCTCAAGTAAAGCTTAGACTAAGCTTTGATGATATTTTGTTTAAATATCTGTCAGCATGCGCTTCATAGTATGCTTACTTTTTCTATTCTATACTCTAATCAGCACATTTTCCCTTGTCAGCACTTCCTTTTACAGTTCATCTCTTATAAAGGAATTCACAAGTTTCTGCTCTTCTTATTCTAGATTTTGTACAACCCTGTAGTACCTGCCTGTGCATCATGTTTCATCTCTTTTCATAGCCATCCTCATTCATTGTGATAGATTTTCTAAGTTTCAGATGCCCTTAACTACATCCCCCATTTACTGATGTTTATTTTTTTTTCCCCAAGCCATGCGGTAACATTTGAGACATTTACGCTTCATCTTCCTCAAGCTCCTTCAGGTACCTAACTCCAAGGGGCTTGCCTGGTCCATGAGAGGAACAGGATTTATAGACTGCATGCATTATTTCAGTTCACTTCTCTGTGGAGTAGGTAGAAGGCTATCACCTTCCAGCCTCAAAGGTGGCCTTGCAGCATCACAAAAACCCTTTACATATTAGGCCACCTGTAAGGATGAATCATATTTTCCTGCCAGTCTGATGTCACGAAATAGGCTGTTTTATATCTCATTGTGCTTTGTGCTATTCCTAGACATTCTTTTGCTCATCACCATACCCATCCTCTGGCCAGTTCAAGAGTATCAGTTGGCACATAGTGAATCATTTCAATTACCTTTCAGTACCTGAAGGGGGCCTGTAGGAAAGATGGAGACCGACTTCTTAGCTGAGCCTGTTACAATAGGTCAAGGGGTAATGGTATTAAACTGAAGGAGAGTCAATTTAGATTTGATATAATAATGAAGTTTTTTACAGTGAGGCTGGTAAAAGATTGGAACAGGTTGCCCAGAGAGGTGGTAGGTGCTCCATCCCTGGACACATTCAAGGGCAAGTTGGAGGGGCTCTGAGCAACCTGATCTAGTTTAAGATATCCCTGCTCATTGCAGGAGGGTTGGACTAGATGAGCTTTAAAAGGCCCCTTCCAACCAAAACCATTGTATGATTCGATGATTTTAATTGCTTTGGATGTTGTTTAACTGGGGAGATGGTACATGTACAATAGATTCCCTTCCAATATGTTTTCAATACAATTGACAGCTGATCTTTGATCTCCAAAGGAAGATCTCCAGAAGTTGAATAGGAATAAGACCTAAGAAATTTGATTTACCTTTTTACAAATGCGTATTTCTATTCGTTGCTAAGTTTTATAGGAGTTCAACTTTTATTCCTTCCTTCAGACAGAATTTACTGTGGAAAAGTCTTCTTTTACTTTTTTCCAGCAGGTTTCTTCTGCAGTTATTTTTCCATGATCTCTTTCAGTGAACACTGAGCAGGGATAACAGTGCTAAGTCATTACTTTGGCCAAGTTACTACAGTTTCACAACTGTGTTAGTTAACATGACCCATGTTGCTCTATCGCTTTTTAAACCGAAGATCCCACTGAAGTTGGTGTGAACTTTTACCTCAGTTTCAATATCAGGATGTGGCTCCTTGTACAGGGGAGTCCTCCCTGCCTAGTTACCAATTGTAGGCTGCTCTCCTCCCTTTCCTTGAAGATAAATCTCCTTATCTGGTTCCTTTCTCTTGACAATAATACTGTAGAGAGAAGAAAAAGAATAAAAGTAATTCTTGGACAAAAATGTTGGCTATTAATTATCATTATTGTGCAGTTACATTCTTGTGTAATTCTTGTCCCCTTGGAGCCTTATTGTGCAGAAATGTCAGGCTAAGTATTTCCTACCCCATAAAACAGACATTGCAGGTTTTCTTCTCATTCTCCTGCGTAAGTTGTCACTAGAAATGAAAGATTAACAAAACAAAATTCCATCTCTTCCTGAATTCCCAGAATTTTCTTTGCAGAATTAGAATATTGCTGACAGTTGGACAGGCAGAATTCTTTGCAAGTTCTACATTAACCTGAGGAAAAAGGTTTACAGAGGTCACAGTGACGTACTGCTTTATGGTTTTGTGCATGTATAAGCTACATAACTGCACTGTGATAAACTTACCATGATTTATTTTTTGGACACAACATCGTCGTGCATATTCTAGTTTCATAAGCTTACGGTGAAAGATGAAAATGGTGTGCATCAACTTTGTAAAAGACCCTAAACCTTTTGCTGTTTACATTATAAACTGAAATAAAAGAAGAAATATCCTATAGTGAAACACTCTCTGAGGTACATTTTTAGCTTCAGTGTTTGAAAGTGGAGAAAAGATAGGAATGGAAAAGCTCTTGAAGTGACTACTTTTATTTAAAATTGAAGTCAGACTTCATTCTAATCAACTTAAAACATTACTTGAAGGTCTATGAGTAGTTTTAAAATGTCTGCTTACTTTCTCAGGTTTCTCTTGGGAATTAGAGATGATAAATGAACTTTTTAATTTCATTTTTGGAAGTCTGGATTCCCTTTAAAATCGTGATTCTCTAGGGTCCTCAGTTCACCCTTATTGGGTCAATAAATATGTATAATTGATTCTAAATTAAGAGTTTGAATCTGACCAAAATATAATTCAAGCTGAAGCAATGCCCAAGCCTGAGTAATTTAAATGGCTAAGAATTTATTATTTTAATATTTTGAACTCTTTTATAAACTAAAGGTAAGTTCTTTAATTTTATGACACCCTGTAACAATATGCATACAAGACTTTTTTATTTTTTTTTTTAATTATACAAAGTAGATCTGTTCCATACTCTTTGCCGGCTGCACTGAAACTGATTTCATGTTTCTTGTTGCTATAATGGAAATTAGATTGTTTCCTCAAAGTAACATGTTCCATGGTGACTCATAAAATAAAGGGGGAGTGGAAGGGGGAATGACTGCTTTAGTTTTTCTGACTTGTTATTTGAAGGCTTTATGATTACATTGTACATTATTCAGATATAAAATTAAAGCCCCAAAGTGTCAGAATTGGTCTGTGATTCCGTTTGTGATTGAAAAAAGCAGATCCTTGCACTAAGTTCAGAAAGAAAGTTCATAAGTCAAGGATATATTCAAAACACCCAGAGTTCCTGTGCCTGGTCAGAGGAGAGAGTGAGAAAAAAGTGGCACTGAAGTGTTTTTAAAAGCTGAGCCAGACACGCAGAGGAAGCAGCACAGGGCCAGTTCTTACAATACAGCAAACATAAGGCCTTCTGCTATAATTAGTTCCCTTTCCCTGCCTTCCCTTCCCCCTTCAGTGCCTGTATTTGAATTTGAGTTGTAGAGCAAGTTATCTTTAATATAATTTCCACATTTTTCATATGACATGAAATAACCTTGCCTTACCTAATAGAATAATCTTAATAGAATAATCACTTTTCATATAATATTATGGTTAAATATAACTATGCTTAATTCGTGCTGACTTACCTTTTCTTTTCCAAAGCCTTTATATGGCAGAATGTGATTAATAATTATTGTTTTTATTTTTTTCTTGTACCTTAATATAACATTGAAAGAATTGTTATGAGTAACCAACTTTTATTATTAGAAATAAAGGCCTCGTCGTGACATCTGGCTCTTTGGATTAGTTTTACTTCTGTAGAATAATAGAAGATGAAAATAACACTGAATGTTTTAATTGTTTAATGTTTGTACTTTCAGGGTTTGCTGGAGGGTCCCCAAGGTCCACCTGGCAAAGAAGGTCAAAGGGTGAGTAAACGTGGTGAACAACTGGTGAGTGTGCTAACTGACCTTAATGTGCAACTTCTGTCCAAGCACTAATAAAAAATGGTAAGGTAGCAGCTGAGTATGAAGCATGCTGACAGCAAACTGAGCTTTGACACTTGGGGTTTCTCTCCAGTTGAGGGAGATTTAACAATTTCAACCATCTAAAGTGTTTTCATGACTGGCAGCACAGATGTAGATATTGTATTTTGTGCAATGTGTTTCTGCTATAATTTTAAGTGAAATAACATTAAAACTTTTCAGTTTTCATTTTATTGCAGGGCTGAACCATACCTAACAACATCTAAGATATATAAAAATATGAATTTAGGGTCATTATCTAAAATATTAGTAGAAACCAGTACTATTGACCCAGGTCTTACTGTAGATGCCATTACACAAGTGTCAGACCCTAACACAGATATACAAAAAAGGAGATACAGTTAATAGTGGTGGGGGAGGGCAGATAGATCATGACAAATACATGAAATAAACCTTTGTTTATTCAGAATTTCAATACAATTAAGTAACTGACTGACTGGTTTCTCCATGTTCTGTTTTTGTTTCCCCTGACTTATTGAATTTGGTAGTTCAGTAGAAAAGATAACGAATATTTATGATTGCGTTATCACAAGAAATAATTCAGTGTTGTAAGTTTATAATCTAGTGTGCTCCTAAAAGTTTGGAAAGTTATTAAGACTCAAACATTTCAAAATTTTTATAAATTAAGTTGTGCCCAGTTGATGGTTTTGAAGTTGGATCTCAATACTTTTTGTTTGATTTAGGCATCTTGATATTTAATATCTCAGTTAAAATATCTGAAGTGAAAAGATTTAGTATTTCTCATCGTTGATCTTAATAAATACAGTGAATTATTAAAGTCTAGTTTAATGATTACAGTAATAGTAATACTACTAACAGGGAACTAATTCTTGAACAAAATGAGCCCCAAAGCCATGTTTTATGTTGTTTTTTAAGTTGTAAAAATAAGTTTCATTTAAGCTGAACACAAAAATATGAAAGTTGTGTTTATTTAAGTTTCAAACATAAGGATTGAGAACCCATTCAGAAAAAGTCAGTGTAGTAAAGGAAAATTTGAGTTATGTGATGAATATGTTGTTAAAACATTTACTAAAATACAAACATGCTTATTAAGGATTTTAAAATTACAATTACTCTTACTGTTATGCTTTTAAATATCCAGGATACTGTGAAAAGCTATAGATATCCAGTTTTTGCATATTTTAGAGTTTTCTATGGAATATTGAATTTGTAGAAAGAAACAGCTTATTATTTCTCCTTTAGGAACAGTTGTAAATATGGCTGTACAGAAGCATCACTCCTGTAATTTCTTATTGCTTTAATGCAAAAATTCAGAGTTAACACATATTTAATCGTGGATACATGAATTTTTAAATACTTTTCTTATTTTATTCCATTCTGCAATGGGAATTAAGGGATTGATTCCTCATGGACATTTTCCTACTCACACATTAAATTGAACTGCTGTCTCACTCCAACATCTATAAAAACAGGACCACTGATTGTTTTGTAATCTTGCCATGCACACAGCTGCCTTGAGCCAAACAATGGGAACAGCAAACTGTAGAGCCTCAGCATCTGTCTTTATCTTTCTACCAGTAAGATGCTCACAACAATACCCTTTGTGCTGGCCACTCCCGCCCAAGCACTAACAACATTGTTTGCAGTCTTAATTCAACTCCCATGTGCTTTTGTATTTCCAATACATTTAATTACGCAGTGACATACAATTTGTAACAAGATCTCTGCTCTGTTTAATGACAAACAGGACAGTGCACATCTAATGGCTATTAAATGTTCCTTTTTATTCAATTATAGATGTCATGTTCCTCTGTTCTACTTCCAGCAGATCCTCCAAATCTTTCACATTATATGAAGTTATTGCTTTTGTCATGGACTGTCTTTTGAAGATTAAAGCATATTATTGAGTGTGTAACTAGCTAATAATTTTTTCTTCAACATATTTTTCAGACCTATAAGTGATATTGTGTCCATTTTGCAGACTAGAACTGTAACATATTAGGGAAAAACTAAAGCCACT